CTTGATACTGAGTGATTCATGGCGATTCATACTACGAGTACAAGACTTTGCTGTTTTGCTCCGATACGTTTTTCATCAAATGGAACTGGTTGCTACTTGCCACGTTCTTTCAAAATTTTTAATATTATCGCCGTTACAATAATTGGTTCGTTAATACTGTTATTAAAATATTTTTCAAGTCACAAAATGAATCCTTGGTGGTGTTTAGTATGATCATTGGAAACCTGTTCTTATTCAAAGGATACTGTATACATATAGTATGTATAGTCACATTATTTTTAGTAAAGACGAGTATTATATTATGCACAAATACATATAATATTATGAGGCAATGTATTTTAAAAATGAAGTGATAAAATCTTTGAACATCTGTAACGATCAGTAAAGCATAATAAATATTTATAATACATAGAATAAATTATTTTATTTAAATGCTGCATATTTAAGGCTAAAAACAAAAACATATTATTGATACATAAAATTATTTCAATAAAACACTACAAGGACATTAAACAATATACGAATACTTTTAAGTGTGTCATTGGAACTTTGGAACTAATATACAAAGAAGGAAATATATTACTATAAATGGACTATTTTATCTATTTATTAATTTTCAAAATATAATATTAATTTGTATTTACATTTTTAGGACTGTTTCTGTCATACAGGGTTTACTATTTCGTAACAATTAGCACAGACAGTGTTTACCAAAGAAGATTCTTATTTTATAGCGTTCAAACAATGTTAAATATGACAATATTTCTTTATGGAGCTTTCAAGAATGAAGTGAGGATTAAAGACTATCTGATGTATGGAAGTAAAATATATAAGGTATGGTATTTACTTTTAAGATTTGTTAATGACTGTCAATTAATATATCAAAAATAATTTTAGACAATAAGATGCTTAAAAACTGGTAAAGAAATGCCAAAATTAGGATGGCAATTTCATCTGGACACATGTTTTTGAGGCATTCTCGCAATGTTTGATGATGTTCCCGTTAATGAGATTTTTGTTATAATGTGTAACCATTTATTATGGCATCATTATTCAATTTACTGCCATAAATCTTCTTCAGCTGCAATTTGTGAATATGGCAAATTCCATCAGCGTTCCATTTATAATGTTCAGAGCAGAATTAAAAATAGAACTAACTAGATTGACTGACAGTGGATTGTTAGTTTTAACTTGATCGTTATATTTCAAACAAACAATTTATATATTAAGTATTGTATTGTTAATTTCATGGACTTTAAAGTTAGCATCAAAAGAATTTACGTTCACTAAAAACATTAAAATTTCTGTTTCAGGGATTTAAATATAACTTTGGAATCAATCAATGCTGCCATTGATAGGAACGGTGCAGTCGATAACACACCTCAGAGTACGTTAATACAAATAATGTCTCATTAATACATAATTAAGTTTTATGTTATATATTCGACACATATTTATTATTTTTTTAGACGACAACACTTTTAAAAGGCAGTTAACAGCGCAGAGGATCAGTCAAATCAAAAAGTCCTTCGTTCAAACATGTGATGTTTTAAAGGATTTCAATACCTCAGATAACTTTTTGTTATTTTTGTTACTTGTGTCGTTTACTTTCAATATTGCATTTACGATATACAGTATTCTTCATACACTAGAAGGTATAAATTTAAAATTGAATAAAATTGTAATTGTTTTGTATTATAATTTTTTATTTCAATGATGACCAGAATTTAATTATCTTTCATGAACCGGGCAAGTATGTTATTAAAGGAAAAAAGAAGAGTGTTTTAATTTTGATTAAAATTATATTTAAATATTTTTTAAAATAGAATTTTATTTGTTAGTGTTGTGTTCTTATATAAATATATTTATTTTCTGTTACTTTAATGGCACGATTCAATTCCTATAATGAGTTTATGACCAATGTTGCACTTTGAGAACCTAAGAAAAAAATATTTTAGTTACAAAACTCTATGGATCGTTTTGCACTTCTATTAATGTTAAACCTAAAACTTTATATTTTTGGATTGTAAGAAAATGTTACTGCTGCAAGTATTTGACTTTAATAAAAAAAGTATAAGGTATAGCCTTAAGAATCGTTATTGAAATACATGTCTTTAAAATACACAAAACACTGATAAACATATTTGTTATATAATTTTTATATACATATTAGTCTTTGTAATAAAAATAAAGCATATTATTTGTTATGTGAAGATGATAGCATACATACAGCGTTCATTTTTTTGTCAAGTATCTTAAGTTGCCTATAGAAATCTTCAATATAAGAGTAATTGTGAATGAGGTGCCGGCCTTAAATTTCTGCGAGAAATTTGTTTTTAAACCATATATCCCAAATTAAGAGATTGGCGCTATCATAAATAATTAATACTTTTGAAGATTCCTCGTTGAAGGACGACAATTTAAATTGAGTCAAAACAAGTCTAAATTCAGGACAAGTGATTTTAATTCAAATTCTTTTTAACTGTATCAAATTAAGTTGATGTAGCAAATTGAGTGACCTCGAAGCAAAGTTGAGAATAGTAGGTACTTCAAGCGGAGACATTTCTATACTTTGTAAAATAAGAATAAGTGCAGTGATGTAAAGTGCTGCCTTGTCTCAATCTATTAGAACAGGGGTCTCTCAAATTTGGCTTGAAACTTTTATAGCTTTATTTTCTAGATATTTTGAAATAGAACAAAATTTATTTGCTCTATATATAATAATTTAACTCGTATTGTTCTGAAACAATAAACCAAATTTTATGATAATTCATACAGAAATAAAGATCTTAAAACTTGAATACCAAGTGTATATAGACAAAATCTACTTAGAACTATACTTAAAACAGTGTTTTTGTATATAAAAGCGGACACAAACAGTATTTAAATTCTATCTAGATACCTAGGATAATACATGATTATGGATTAAAAATAATTTCTTGCAATAAAGGAGTAATGAAGGTATCACAGAAACTTGAATACTAAGACTTTTTAAATTCATAATTTTTATTTATACATTTGTTTGTGTAAAATTTCAGGTTTGAAATAAAAATGTTCAAAGCTTTATTATTTATAATATTTTAGGGTTTTAAGAGAAGGAACAATGGAGTCTAATCATTCATTCTGATTGTAATTTCATGTACTTATTCACATTGTATTGAGGCATCTATTGTATTGAGTCATTTATATTCAACGTTTGTTAAACCACTCGGTGATGAAACATGATGGACATATGTAAATTTGATTGTTTCTAAATAAAAAGGAATTCCTATATTTATAATTTAATAATAGGTACTTTTGTAAAACTATAATTTAACTGATTATTAGAAGTATTTATGATCTTGTGGAATTTTAAGAAGCTGTAAGAGAATTTATATAATATATTTTTAACTTCAAAATGTCAATTATACTTCAAATATTCTATATATCTATTGAAAATGTGTAAGAAAGCTGTAGAACAATGTAAAAGACAATGGATACTCAAATAAACAACATGTATGAAGTTATTTTTGATGTATTGTGTTAAGTGTAAAAAGAATGACAGTTTTTAATTTATTTGAATTGAATACGGCACATATTGTAGCGTGAGGATGGCTACTATAATTTTAAATGAAAGAAAATCCATATTGTTTCTTCACTTGTAATTAATTAAGGATTCAAAATGATGATATTAGGTACTATGTGTGTATGTCAAGTCTAAGAGGATAAACAATTCGAAAAAAAGTAAAGAATAAAAGTACCACTTGTCAACTTACACAGATATATTTTGCTTTAATATAAAAAATGTTATTGTTTTATATGCTACAGTTTTATAGATAGTATAGATAAATTTGGGAAAAATATTTTAAATTATAAGAAAACTGTTCGTGTGGTTTTCACATGAAAAAGAAAATCAAATCAGTCGAACAATTTTTAAATTTTAATATATTTTTTATTTGTTTGGTAACAAAGGATTACTTGTCGTATTAGTGTATCTTAGCAGTAAAAAGGTGTTGAAAAAAATAAATTACTACTTATAAATTTTCATAAAATTCAGAATGAATGTTGATTTTCTCGTTGAAATATTCTTTCGGAAATTCAAGTTTCTGTATGATTTTTTTGCTGAAAAATCTTGAAAGACTAGTGAGAATTGAAAGACCTCGAAGAAATTTTCTAGCTGCAATATTTAGTAAGAGCAAATTTGTATCCTTTTAAAGACGGTGGTTTTTAATATTTTACTAGTTTCTCGGTTATAGTTTTCTCTTCTGTGAGCTTAATTAAAACTTTCCTTGTATATTTTTACATACTTAAAATGTCAATGATTTTATTTGCTCTTTAATGCAAAAAAATTAATGACTAGAAGGGATTACGTGATGAAAAGGTATTTCCTCCTTGGATGTATACCATTTTTGTATAATTTTGTGTTAAATATTTTAACGTTCAAAACTAAAACATGATATCTTGTAAGTACAGTGAAATATTAATTAAACTAAAGACATTTCGCTTATAAATAAATACTGAAGATTAAATTACTTAAGGATTTAATTTAAAGGAAAAATGCTAAAATAAATTAAATTCCTCTTAAAGGAGATCATTCAGGCTTCATACATTTTTGGGCCTTTTTTGAAAGTGCCGGCCAACAAAAAAAATGGTACATATTTGTAGAACTAACCATTTGGAACAATAGTTAATATGGCGCAAAAGTAGTAGGATCCAAGATATAGAAGTTATTCAAGTTTCAAGATTCATCATTTTGGTACTTTATTTTTTTCTGAAAGTGCCAAGAAACATAAAATAATGATTGATATTGCTAGAGTTAAGCTTCTCAAGCACATCGTTATAGCCATAATCTGTTAGAAACATGCTCTGCGCCACTTGCTCTCGCGTCATATGATCAAATCCGACCCAAAATGGTACAAAATCAGTTAAAAGTGCTTCTAGGCCCATTTTTTTAATATATAAAAATGGCACCCCGATATACATATTAGTTTAGACAAATAATAAAATCATCAAGAAATGTGTTGCATGCGTTCAGATACTTGGCGGAACAACGTCTGTCGGGTTCGCTAGTATTACATAAAAACGACAGGTTTCTGGATACAAAATCAAACGTCAAGCCTTACTCCATCCTTAAAGCGGCGTCGGATTGGACTATAATGATGGACACGTATGAAAAGCAATATAAAATCCCCGAGGATATTTGTGCGTCGGCCTCCAGACCGGATATATTTTTGTTTTCGCGAATTTTAAAGCGCGTAGTGATGATAGAGCTTACGGTCCCTTGGGAAACCAACATCCCCAAAGACCATACCATCAAGGTCAACAAATATTACGAGCTCACAAACGAACTCACTCGAAATAGGTTCGTAGTAGATTTGTACGCGGTAGAGGTGGGAGCGAGAGGTATAACAGCGAAATCTCTCTACAACCTACTAAAGGACTTGGGCTTGTCCAGAACTCACATTAATGCATTCTTGGAACGTATATCGAAGGCAGCCCTAGTAGGTTCTTTTCAAATTTGGTTAGGTAGGGAGAGGAGCTTGGACAGTGGAGGTGAGCGTATAACGCGCGTTAGTTAAGGGGCCCCTTAAACCTACACTTGGGTCGCAAGTCCCAGGCACTGTTGAAGCTCCTCTCCCTGCAACGCGATGGACCCGGCACCCGCACGGTGAATCCATGGCATACTTAGTAGTTTCGTCTCTCTTATACATATATTCCATTGAAATGACCTCTGTGGTTAATAAATCTTTCCAGCTGGTGATCTCTAAATACCAGATAATAGCAATGTTCATTACATATACAGACCCAGTAGTGATTAGCATTTCAAAACAATAAAATGAAAATATAAATTTTCTAACATAAGTATGTACTTAAATCTTAATATGTAATTTTTAAGTGAATATTAGATTTCAAGAGTATAAATTAGGTTAGAATATCAATTAGGTGTCGCTACCGGTAGCGTAAACATTGGCTCCGTACATAAAAATCAATAAAATTGTAAATATTTGTTTTCTTGCCACTATCAAGTGATTATCGGTCAAATTATTGTACAATTATTCGCTATTACCGTTTGTAGGCGGTTAACTTGGTGATTTTGGGTGTTTGACGTCAAATTGTTATCTTCATAATATTAACCTAATAGTGTATATCGGAATAGTATTTTTGTTTAAACTTTAGAATAATAAGTGTTTTTTTAGTCTTATTGCTGTCAATAGTGCTTAAAACATTCAGTGCATTAACTTTGAGCAGGCGATTAAATGTTTTTTAAAATTTGTAAGGTAAAAACTAAAAACCAGTATTTTTATTCAAACGCTCAAAAGCATTGCGTCCTTACTCCTGATTGGTCAAGAATCAAATGATAAAACCCAGCTGTTTTAAATCATCTTTTTCACAACTGGTTGCAGAAACAAACTGGCCGAAAGGTGTTTACTAAGCATTGAACGCGTGAAGCGAGAGTTCGGTCCCGGGCATCGCATGTGAGAAAGGTTTATTACATTTTATTTTATTTTTATTTTTTTTCCTCGTTTTGAGATTACACATAATTAATTTGTAAAAAAACCATGGATGATAATATTAAAAATCGTAGAGGTGTACGAGCCCACATTGCTTCATCCAAAGTGGATACAAATGTAATTCCAGTCTCTGGTGAAGAAGTTCAAAATATTGTATCCAAAGAGTTCGACAAATTGTGGCTTAAATTGGAAAATACGATAACCGATATAATTTCTGCGCAACTCAAACCATTAAAGGACGAAATTGCAAACTTTAAACAAAGTGTATCTTTCATTAATTAAAATAATTAACAGTTTCGTAGATTCACCTTTCCTATTGTCTAATATTGAATTTAATTGTCAACGAATAAATTCAAGATATAAACCATTATTTAATGTGCCGATTTGTAAGACGAAAAGTACTAATAATATCTTCTTATATCGTAGCTGCCAAAATTATAATAAAGTTTATTAAGATATTGATGTATTATTTGAAAAATGTATTCTTTTAAAAATAAAATAAATGAGATTAATTTATGTATCAATTCATAGTTTGTTTTGACGTGTATAAATGTTTTGCCTGTAATTTAACTAACCGATGTAGCCATTAATGCCTTCAATTTTATGTGTTTTTTTCCTTCTTTTTTTTTTAATTTGTTTCGTTTAATTATATTTATGTTAGATTTTATTCATAACTGCCGAAGATATTCGTCAGTATACGTTTTTAATGTTTATTAGTCTTTTTTTTAATTTTAATAATATGTGTCTAATTAACAGTGGAAACTTAGCTGATATATATAATTTTGTATAATTAATAATTATATCCCATAAGTTCATCTCATTGTTTGTTTCCCTAAAATAAAATAACATACATACATTGCAAGTGAAATAATAACTTGTAAAATTTTTGCATTCATTGTATATATAAGAAACAGTCATGACGGGCAGACGAGAAGTGTATGATATAAAATACATATATTTAGGCACATATTGATAATAAATTTCTGAATTTAATTTCGTAGCAACTCAAGTGCGAACTTGCACTAAATACTTTATGATCTCTCAGTAAAACATAAAATCTGGACCGCGTTATGTACAGATTGTAAGTTCTAATCTTGTTAAATATATGTGATACATCTAATACCCTTAGCGTGGTTATACTTACATTCAATAATATCATACATATAATAAGTTTGACATCACCAACCCGTCTTAAGCGAGCGTGGTGATTAATGCTCAAACCTTCTCCATGTGAGCAGAGGCTCAGCAGTGGGCTCTGATAGGATGATGATGATGGAAACATCTCATATAATCTCCTATATTATGAATATGCATTGAATATATTCATATAATTATGATTTCTCAGGTCGGTGGTAAAAGCCAAAGCGAGGTTGGCGGAGGTGTAGCGAGCTCTGAACATCACCGAGCTGGGTTCAGACTTGAGATCCTGCACGAGACTGCTGCTACTACACCAGGTGGTTACATCACATACTAGCTGTTTACTGCGACTTCATGCGTGTATTAGGAATTACTCAGATGGTGATTAATGTGTATCTAATATAATGGATGTCATTGTGAGGTCTAAATTGCTTTATAGGAGAGTTTTATCAAAATCAGTTAGGATAATTTACTTGTAAGACCAACATATATCCATACATACCTACTAGATATACTATATAAGGACATGTATATAGTATTGCTTTTCAAATTATTATCTGTCGTAGTTATACCAGCTAACTGATATAATTTGTGGTAACTGTCAGTGTGCGAGTGGTGATGGGGTTTTAAAGATTTCTTTTTTTGCTAAGATTATTTTTATAAAATCAAAGTGTAAAGAGCTAATTGCTGGTGCTTTAATAACTACATAGATTTAAACTAAGGGATCCTCAGATGAGAAAACAATTTGTTTTAAAGTAAAACAAGTAGAATTATATTGTTTAGAAATGCGTATTGATAAAAACAATTATTGTTTACAGAAAAATGCGATTTCGTCCTTGTTGTATTTACTAGAACATATCTATATTTATATAATATTCAATAGTAACATAAATGTCTACAGGCTCTGGAATAAGAGTTGAGTCAATGCGAACAACGAGCGGAGTCCCTTGCAGCCCAGGGCTCCGACCTGGTCTCCAGTGGTCACTTCGACGGCGCGGCCATCGAGAGAGACTCCGCTGCGCTGCTGCAGACCGCCCGGGCGCTTCGCCCTCGAGCAGCCGAGAGGAGACAGGCGCTGGAAACTAGTCTACAGTCAGTATACGATATAACTAAAATAAAATATGATTCAATAGACAATACAATATTATATAAGAAATGATTAACGGTTGACGGAACAATATACAGGGTGACTGGTCAATTACTATCAATATTTAAGGAGAATACTCGGTACATGATTCTCATTCGAATTATGTAAAAAAAATAAGTACTTAATTTTTGACCAAATTTCCGTATAAATAAATAAAGTGTGGACACGTTCCAAGTGTGGACGCGTGCGGCGGCGTGCTGATACAACACCACGCCGCCGCACGTGTGTGTGTGTGTGTATACTTAATCTGTAGGGTGTTCACACGATGCGTAATTAATTACATAACTTTTGGTTAACTTTACTTAGAAGTTTATTAATATTTGTGTTATATTAATTTTTATTTTTCATATATGATCGTCAAATATCACGTCCTCAAGTATCGATAGTAATTCACCAGTCACCCTGTATATGTATGTAATACATATATACAATTGAGCCGGGACGGGTATAAAGATTAAAATATTTACTGTAAAGGGCCATAGATCTATTTTAAATCAAAAATGTATTAAAGTTATTTAACTGGATAAGGATTCTCCACTTATTTATGGATATCATTATACATACAAACCTTCCTCTTCAAACAATCTATCTTTCAAAAAAAACTGCACCAAAATCCACTGCGTAGTTTTAAATTATTAAGAATGCATACGGATATAGGGACAAGAAAAGCAACTGTTTTATAATTTATACCATATTAGCTGCGCCCCGCGGTTTTACCCGCTTATTTCCTAGATTTCCGGGATGTAAAGTAGCCTATGTGTTATTCCTGGACGTCAGCTTCCTGTACACAAAATTTTATCAAAATCGGTTCAGCCGTTTGAGCGTAAAGAAGTAACAAACATACATTTTCCCGTTTATTCATTAGTCTTAAATTGTACCTAAATAATGTAGCACCTGACAAAAATATTGTTTTTGTAATGATTATGTCGTGTACACATACTTAAGAATATAATCAAACTAAAAATAATTTTATACTGTAACTCATATGTACTCCGGCTTATATTCTGTTGTTTGCCTAAATAAATAAATAAATACATACACACTCACAAACTTTCGCAATTATAATATTAGTAGGATAGTAATAGTACATAATCAATTTGATGACTAATTTTATTTATCCAAATCCTCCACAGACCACACAAGTTCGCTGCCGAGGTTTCAGGAGAGCTACTCGTAGCTTGGGTGTCGGAGCGCCACGCCCCCCCTTCATCTGCCACGCGCAGAAGAAACACGCCAAGCTGAGGGCGGAGCTTGAGGGGCGGAGGCCTGTCGTGGAGAGGGTGCTCCAACGGGGCAAGGAGCTGGACACGCATCTACAGGCTGGGAAGGTGGACTATATATATATATATATATATATATATATATATATATATATATATATATATATATATATATAACTCACATTCTCATGTACCTATTACATAGTAATGTTATATAGTTATATGTCCCATTGTATTTGTAGTGATTATATGTAGGTATTTATTTCTAAGAGAGAAACACGCGTCCGTTCGATAGTGCAGAACTGACGCATAGTAAAAAATGTCCATCCTACCAACGTCATATTATGATAGTTAAATTAATTCTGGATCTCCACACCATACCTTGGTTCATCTGAAATATTATATACAGCATGCATAATTAAATTATTCTTGGACAAAGTTCGGCTAATAATTGATTTTTTTTATATTTTCTGAGTGAATTCTTGAAGTGAAATTTCTTATGCGACTACAAACAAGGTTGCGTTAAAGGTTCAACGTAGGGATAAAAAGATATACAAATATAGAAAGTAGGAGAGAGATTGAGAGTAGATTCCAAGCACATGTGCATAGTACTGTTGCTTACAGCAAAGTAAACAGTGTGAACGCGACATTAACTGAAACACCAATTTGTATTATATTAATTTATGTATATACATATAATTCATTTCCTCAGTCAGTTGTGGCCTAGTGGTTAAAAGTCCCGCCTCTCATGCATGAGGGCGCGGGTTCAGTCCTGGCAAATACCAATGTGATTTTTCCGAGTCATATGTACTTTATAAGAGTATTTAGACATCACTGATTAATGCATTCCCAAAGAGGGTTGATGTCAGGCAGTCGGCCGGTCGTAAAAACAATTAGCCAAAACTATTCACACATCTGAGGCAGACCCTGGCTAAAAGCTGGGAAATTGCCAGGAAGAAGAAGATTAGTTTATGCATATACATATAATTTATTTCCCTACTCCACTCATTAAACTATAACGATCACATTTCAGATCATGCAGCTGTGCCAGGAGCTTGAAGAATCGTTCTCCTCTGTGTCATCAGCGGCGGAGGAGCGCGCGGCCCGGCTGGAGGCGGCGCTGAAGGCCCAGTAGTTCCTGCATGACGCAGCGGAAGTCGACTCCT